AAAATTTTAATTTAATACATACAAAAAAATAATAACTAATTATAAGACTCATGCCGTTCTCTCTCGTGGGCCCCTCTTTTCTTCTTTAATTAACACTCATTTCCTTTTAAATCAACATGCCTTATTAAAATTCATAGATTTTCTAGAGTGAATTTATAATCGACAATGATTTAACTATGTAAGAATTTTATGATTAAAAACACTAATCTTTTTTAACCACAAAATTTTTTGCCTTCTTTTTCAAATCTCAAGGATTTATCAAAACCTTCTATCACACTTATTATTTTAATAAAATTTTATAGCTTTAATTTAAAGAATTATATCATTTATTCTAATAACAATATAGACATTAACATTTACCTTATAAGTTTCTCGGAACAAGTCCCCCCTCACTCGTATACTTCAACAATTTCTTCTCACTCATATGTTTCAACAATTTCTTCTACTTCCAATTCGAAATTTTTATATTTTGAGTCTTAAGTCAACAAAAAACCATGCATTAAACACACACAGACACACATAAAAAATGTCGTCTGTTCCGATTTCATTCTGTTAGGGTTTCGCCATAATTGAGAAACCTGGTATCTATTCGTTGATTTGCTCTTTGTCATGCATCCTCCTCTTCATCGTGCTTCGCCTGCGTCGTGCGGCGTCGGATCCTTCGGCGCACGTCTTCTCGGCTCTTTCACACTCAAAGAAGAAGAGGTTTTTGCGTCGTGCGGCGTCGCTCCTTCGTCGCACGTTATCCATTGTCAACTGTGTTTCCTGCGGTCGCGTTCTGCAGCTCCGTCTCCTGTTGCACTCGCTTCCGTCCTCCCTGCACGTATGTGAGTTACTCGCACAATCCCTGTTGTTTGTCGTTGTTCAACTCCCTGTTCCATGGCTACTGCTCTTTCTCAACCACCGCTGCTTCTGTTTTAAACATTGGCAAGTCTTCTTTTGCTGATATGGTTGGCTCTATGGGATCAGATCAGGTTTTCTCTCATGTTTACTATGAATCATTCGAAAGCCAAAAGGACTGCAACCTTATCAAGAAGACGGGTAGGAAGGTGGTAAAATAGCTCTATTCTTCTCTGATGTTGAAGTTTTCAACTGGTTAACAAGTTCAAATTCACCCTCATTGGAAAGTTCCAATCGAGACATCCCAAAAATGGAAATCGTTCGAAAAGCTTTTGAAGATTTCAAACTATTGGGACTCTGAAAGGTTGGTCTCTTTGATGGGAGACATGTGATGATACAATTATCTAAAATGGAAAACTATGCCAAAATATTTTCCAAAGAGTTTATGACAATAAATAGAAAATATATGAAACTGCTTAAGTGGTCTTCTGAATTTGACTCTTGCCAAGAACCACCTATAGTTCCAATCTGGTTTAAACTACCTGGCCTACCCTAGTTTAAACTACTTGGCCTAAAATTGCACTACTTCAATCACCAAGTCTTCTATTTTATTGGAGCTGCACTAGGGAGACATAGGAATTTGGATACACCCACCTTCAATCTAACCAGACCTTCGGTTGCAAGAATTCTTGTTGAAAGGGATATCACCCTCCTGATGTGGACGAAAAATGGCTTGGTATTTCCCACAATGGATATTAACAGTCAATTGTTGAAGAACAAAGACCCTACTACTACAATCATTGTAAACTGTTTGGGCACACCCCTGTCAAATGCTTCAGGGTTCACCCGCATTTGAGGTCAGCAGGTCCTAACAACATCATCCATGTGGAGGAAAATGTAGCAGACAGGAAAAATCCATGTGGAGGAAAATGTAGCAGACACTGTTAATCTTCCAGAAATTTTGAATGCGAATTTCACTCATAAGACTATTCCTCACCAACTAGACCAACAACTTCTAACTACTGTTGTTGAGGCAACTCTTCCTCAGATCTCAAATACTACGAATTTTGTTGTAGCGGATGCTAGCTGAAGTGTCTTGGAACTACCTATTGCGAGAGAAGAGGGTACTCAAGTTTTGGAGGAGTGGCAGGATCAAGGTGTGATGCAGATTGACAGTCAATTGTTGCAGAACAAAGACCCTACTACTACAATCATTGTAAACTGTTTGGGCACACCCCTGTCAAATGCTTCAGGGTTCACCCACATTTGAGATCAGCAGGTCCTAACAACATCATCCATGTGGAGGAAAATATAGCAGAAACTGTTAATCTTCTAGAAATTTTGAATGTGAATTTCAGTCATAAGACTACTCACCAACTAGACCAACAACTTCTAACTACTGTTGTTGAGGCAACTCTTCCTCAGATCTCAAATACTACGAATTTTGTTGTAGCAGATGCTAGCTGAAGTGTCTTGGAACTACCTATTGCGAGAGAAGAGGGTACTCAAGTTTTGGAGGAGTGGCAGGATCAAGGTGTGATGCAGATTGACAGTCACTTGTTGCAGAACAAAGACCCTACTACTACAATCATTGTAAACTGTTTGGGCACACCCCTGTCAAATGCTTCAGGGTTCACCCACATTTGAGATCAGCAGGTCCTAACAACATCATCCATGTGGAGGAAAATATAGCAGAAACTGTTAATCTTCTAGAAATTTTGAATGTGAATTTCAGTCATAAGACTACTCACCAACTAGACCAACAACTTCTAACTACTGTTGTTGAGGCAACTCTTCCTCAGATCTCAAATACTACGAATTTTGTTGTAGCAGATGCTATCCGAAGTGTCTTGGAACCACCTATTGTGAGAGAAGTGGGCACTCAAATTCTGGAGGAGTGTCGGGATCAAGGTGTAATGCAGAGTGAGTCAGATCAACAATTTACCTCCATCGAAGATCCGCCTATTGTTCAGACGGAACTACCTCTGGTAGATGATTGACAGGTTTACAAATCTAGGAAGAAGAAAAAGGAATGCCACATCTCAGTAATTCTCAGAATGATTGTATCATAGTTTCGGGCGGAAGCCCACATCTCAGTATGTTGCTGGACTCCCTCCCTAGTTCTAGGGGAAGGGGAAGCGGTATATCCACCGACTACACCCACCATGATTAGAAGTTGATTTCTTTTTGTTATATTTTGGGGAATACGTCTACTTGTAATCGCTGTGAGTGAGCTCTTTGTACCTACTCATTAAACCATTGTATCCTCTCTTTTATATCAATGAATTTTTCCTTTTCAAATATATATATATATATATATATATATATATATACCCTCCACTCGGCGCAGCATCGCCCATT